GCTGCTCAGACTATCAGTTTTGGTGTTTAACAAGACAGGCACAGCCCCTCCTGTGTCATCCAAGCACTGCACTGCCTGGTAAGGGCGCTCACTGTCTGACATTGAGCATACAGAGCTGGGAATTCCCAACGCCTGAATTCCTGTTCCTGCACCAGCCTCTCCTTTCACAGGACCTTGAAACAGGATCGAAGAGTAGCTATGTAAGAGGAGATCTCCAAACTGTCATTACTATTTTTTTTCCTACTGTCAGGGTGTATGGGAATCATTGAGTCAGGGCCTGAGCCACTGATTGAGCACCTGGGGAAAGGACTGGGTCAGTCCTGCAAGCACAGGTGAAGGCAATTCAGTTGTGTGACCAGAAGGGGTGGAGCCTGGCTGCACCTCTCTTAGGTCTCATTTAAGGGCTGACTGCCAGTGGGAATGGATCTCTGGTTGGAGATCTCTCTTTTGTGGAGTTTTCCCAGTGAGTCTAGATCCTCAGAGACGGGTGAGTCCTTTTTCTTTTCCTTGCAACACTTAATCTCTCTGTTGTTACACCTCTTGTATCACCTTTCCATTGCGTTGACCTGATTGTTATACAGGGACATAGCAAATTCTTGTCTCTGCCAATTCCAGTTGAGCTGGCACCACTATTAGCCTGCTGTGCATTGTGCCTAGGAGCTTTATGAGCATAAGAATAGCTTCACTGGTAGGCATTCAGCCAACAGTCAGAGGTGACCTTGTATTAACCTGGTGAAAGCTAGGCAAGCAGATTCCTTCTTGCTGGGAAGCAGCACAGGCAATTGTCCATTGGAGAACTTGGAGGGTCACTTGTAATTTCTGGGCTGTGCTAGCAGAGCCTGTGAATGGTCTGCAGGACCTCCTCCTTTGAGAAGCATGTAAACCTACAGAAATGTTAACCATGACCTTTTGAAAAGGCGAAGTTAATATTTTTAAAATGTGACTTAATCTGATATTAAATGATCACAGTTATTAGGGCAGCATTATCATAGGCCATAAAGCCAAGCCTTGCTTCCATGGAAATATGAAGATGACAAAGGTGACTCCTGAGGCTGTTTTCTTCTATATGTTTGGATCTACGCGTTTATAATAATGGTACAGCTAACAATAAGCAAGCAGCCTCTGACTTCATGCCACCAAAGTGGAGAGGAGTTTGGGCTCAGGCCCATTGGAACAAGTTTTGTGCAGCATTGCGTGGGACGGTGTTGGAGTAGTTTGTTATCTAGTGCTAAACTTCCCTGTACAGTAGTTCACAGAAGGACAATGCTAATGCAGCATTTAATTTGAAGATGGGAATCTTTCCACTGGATTTGGATCTGGGTGGCATGAGCTACGTGCTTTGTTTCTTCCTCCACAGCATTAACCCAGAGCCAGGAAGCTGCTCACAAGCATGTGCAGATGTGATTCTTGCATCTGGTGAGGAAGGAAATTCTGAAAGAAACTTATTAAATTCTGTGTGCTTGGTGCAGTTCAGAACCATGTATGTTTTTATGGGCATGTACTACTGCTGTGAGTATAAATTATGACCAGAAAGAGCTGCAACCCTAATAACTGAAAGTCACCCGAAAGTAAGTATAAATAGAATCTCACTAAACCACTATATAAACCTAAAATGACTACAAGAAAACAAGTATTTTGAATTATTTAATATTACTAAAGCCAAAATATAATCTGTGTATCATAATAGCTAGCATCAACTGTATATTTATGGTAAGTGGATAAACAATGAAACTACGTATCTGTAACTGTGTAGTCTAACTAATGCATTCATGCTTTTCCTATATCTTTAAAATATGTGCCACCAATAGAAAGATTTAATCAGTTGGTGAATGCAGAATACTGAGCATCTGATGTTCTCACTTAATGGCTTAAACTATCTAATCCTGTTACATATTAGTTCTCATCGCCTATCAGAAAATTACCTGTTGTGTCAGAGACATGTAATGGATTGGATTAATGTAATCACCTCTAAATAGAGCTACCCTTCAATCCTGCTGAGACGTTTTGAAAGGCAGAATGCAACCATAGCAGAGTAGTGTGATGTGAACAGAAGACTTCATGGAAATTGTGGTGGATTATAACTTGCTTTTGCTTCTTGTATTTGACTAGATCTCAAAGAATTAATTTGAGCACTGGGAGTTTTAAGTTTTACTCTCTACTGTGTAGAGTGATTTTTATCATGAACCTTGGCTGTTCTTCCATTTGACAGAGATTATGTTAAGAAAAAAAATAGTCCTGCTGACATATGATTGATGTACTGGAGGATGGAAGAATTATGTTGTCACTAGTCATGAGATGGTATTTTCTCATTTACTGCAGACTCTCTAAGAATTGTTTTAAACTTTAAAACGTTCTCTGTTATGAATTCCCTACTTTTTTCAAGATGTATTTTCTAGAGATTTATTCGGTGCTTTTTTTGACTTCTGATGCTGAAAGAGGTTTATTTTGAATATCTATCTGGATTACTATCTCTGAACAATCTGATTTATATTTATGAAATTATTTTGAGAGATGTCATTTGATTAATCTAAACATATAGAGTGTAAAAATAATCCCTTTTAAAAAATGACTAATTTCCTCTTTACACATTAACTATCTCAAATAGAAGGGAGGTCTGTGGCTCTGAAGGAAAGCTGACACACCAGTGAAATGGCAGTAGATTCCCCCCTTTGGCCAGAAGAGGGAGAGATGCACCTGGTCTGGCTAACGAGATCACTGTTTCAGCCCAAATTGAAACGTAATAGCTACTTGGGCAAACTGCTTCTGTGCCATCAAACCTTGATTAATACAATAACAAGCTGTATTTTACTCCGTCTGCTGTAAAGGAAAACAACCCTTATGTAGTACCTAGAGATGCATAAATAAGTCTTAAAGGCAGTGAAACTTGGGCACACCCAATCTCATAGCTGGGATTTTGATTGTGCACTGGGGATTCTTATGTTCCCCTACGCTGAAAGAAAGTTTAAGAAATGAATTTGCGTGCAGAATGATCTTTCTCTACTGTGGGTTGTAAATAGCATAACAAGAATATTAGTGAGATTGGTCTTGAGTTGTGTCTTGGCTTCTAGGTAACATAATAAGCCAGTTCTGTGAATATCCACATAGCCAAAGGAGCAGGGTGGGTATAGCACGGAGAGAAAACCTTTTAAAACTGCTAATTTACTCCTATTTCTTAATGGGTAAAAAGGAGAGAGAGCTGATGGATCAACTTGGTGTAATTCTCACATTATTTCACATAGTTCTGACAATGTCTCGGTCCTAGGAACTGCAGTGATTTAAGGAAAAGTGTATTTTAGCAGAGCACCAGTTCAAAGAAAACATTTTGGCTTGTTCTTTCTTATGGTGATAGGAGTTTGTCTTAAATGGTAAAGGGTGTTTCTAAGCTCGCTTTGCTCCCTAGGTAAGTAAGTGTGCCTATGGGGTATTGAAACTGGTGACTGAATGTAATTGTCTTGTTTTGCTCTGACATGAGGGAATGGGGGATGGAACAGCTGTAGTCAGATTTGCAGGTGACAAAACATACCCTGATGTATTTCAGGAGAAAAACATCCAGTTTCAGTATACTTTCTATACTAATGGGTACACATTACATATGTTCTCCTACTGTATTAAATCTCATAGTCCTTTAGGTTCAACTTCAAAAAGTGCTTCTTTGAATCATCCCTGAAATACTGCTTCCTTTTTAATCTAAAAACTAATGTGATTGGTTAAGCTTATGCAGTGTGGTTTTTCAGTAGCCCTTGGCCATGCTTTACTTTCTTGCTTTTTATGATGCGTTGTTAGAGCAGGTGAAGTGGTGACAGCTGCTTGCATTACTAAGGCTAATGAAATGCAAAGCTCATTTTTGTATCCAGGTGTTTTGCTAACCACTAAGCCCAGAGTGGGCAAAATTCAGCCAAGTGCAGACAGTAGTACATAGCTGAAGCACCCCAAGTAGTTTATTTTCTCATTTGCATTTATACACCAAGTATGAGTCAACTGTATCTGGAGCATAGAAATACTTGGCTTGGTGCAGTAGCAAGATTTGATGGTGAGAAAAAACACCAGTGAAAGAAATAGTGAACTAGTCTTTCCTAACCCTTAACCCAATTTAATTTATACAGTCTGCCATGATCTCAGCTTCAAGCCTGGATTAAAGCTCCAGATTCAGCTCTAGGGTAAATTAAATTCCATGGGAGTTGTGCCATTCACACAAAAACAACGTGTTCCTTTGGAATAATGATGTGCCTCCCCTATGATATTTCTACTGCTTGAATGCCAAGTCAGCCTGGTGACACTTGCTCCCTGTTCCCATCTCCCTTGGTGTACAACTGGTGCCTTCAAGAGCTCTTCTACTCTGGCTGGTTTGGTACATTACTGCAAGCTTTCAAAAAAACACTACCCTCAGCATTTTGCCTGGATCATTTCCTAGTTCAGATTGTGTTCCTTAGCAGATGGCTACATCCATCCTCACCAGTCAGCAGCAACCCCGTTCCTATAACTAGTACTTGGTAAATAGCATGTGGTCAGTAATCTAAGACTCAATCCATTTGGATGATTTAGCTTTGGATGATTTTACTTCATATTTTGAAAAGCCCTTGTAGCACAGCCAAGCCCACTATCTCCTGTGTTCTTCTCTCTTTGGCCTTAAGTTCATGGGTTCAGTTTGCATTTTTGCTGTACCTCAGTGGACATCCAATGCCTTTTTGCACACTTGGGGTTTTAATTCATTTCAGCCTTTTTCTCTTGGCAAGTCATTTCATGGAATCATGCATGTGAGGGTGTGTTTGCATGTTTATTTGACGCACATTACAGAGCACTCTTCTAATTTTTGAACATTTACTTGCTCACTGATCCTATAGAAGATGACTGCTCCTGCCATCTTGTATTACCATGCTGGTTGGGTTGCTGGATAAACTTTTGAGAGCATTAACATGAAAATGACAGGAGCAATCCCTGCAGTTCTTTTCCCTCTAGGCACTCTGCAGTAAGAGAACACTCTGTACTGCTTTGTTTTTCAGGTTGATGGTTTCCTCACACTTCTCTTTGGCCTGGCTAGCATTAACACCCTCACAGTGATCAGCGTGACTCGCTATATAAAAGGCTGCCATCCTGAGAGAGGTAAGGAATAAAGGCAGATCCAGTTGTGCTTTCATTGAATTTTGCTGTAACTCTGTTCTCCTTTCAGTTACAGAATTTACCAGATACAAATTAGATGCACTGGAAACCGTAATATAATGTAGTCAGGTACTTGTAGTTTCCATGGAAATAAATAGGAAGTATTACTTTCAGAGTGACCTACACCCATATTCTATAAATTTTCTCTGGTCCAGCTTTCACCACCCTTAGACAAGACATTATCAATTTTCACGCCCTTATTATGACTGGTTTGTACCACCCCCAAGCGAGAACCTATTAGTATCTGCATTTAAAGCTTGGGTAAACTATGGATACAATATATGAGTTTTTCTTTCTATTAGCGTGAGCAGTATTAGCTGTGAAGAGATTATTCATGGAATCTTTTTTCTTCTACAGGAAGTTTGCTTGCAGGTTATAGTGATAAGTTCATTTCACCTCCATTTTGTATTCATAGCTTCATAGGATGCAATGTTTAAAATGCACACTTCTCTTTTGCTCTGCTGTATCACACATTCATTGCTAGTAATTTATCTTTGGGTGTTGAGAAAATCTGACCAAGTACTCAGTATAATGTTACATAAATGTTAAGGAACAGAGATGGGTGGCTGCATAAGTATTTTATTGGAAGACAAAGAAACGATCACCACATATGGCAACAGCGGAACAGGCTGAATCATTTGTACCGTGTGGCTAATGAAGTTTGAGCAGATAGTATTTTTTTTTGCTCTTTTTTAACAGTGAGAACTTTGAAATAAATAACAAAATCCCATGAATTTAGACTAACCATAATCATTTCTGCATGAAACATATTTCTTTCCTTCTTTTTACCAAATTGCAAAACACAGCTCCAACAAAGAACGTTGTATTTCTGCAGCAGTCAGCAAACATTGCCTCTGATAAATAGCCACACAGTCCCACTGCTCCACAAGTGAACTCAAACACAAGCATTTGCAAATTTAAGCTTTTCTTATAAATAAATAGCTTTATATTAACTTTTTCTCAGATAGCTGTGTTTTCTTCATTATTATTTTCTGGTTAAATCATCTCATTGCAGCTCACTGTATCAGCAACAGCAGTATGACGGTGGCTATGGTCCTCATCTGGATAGCAGCCGCCTTCTGGTCAGCAGCTCCACTGCTTGGCTGGGGTAGTTATACAGGTAACAGGTATCTTTCAGTTGTACTTATTTGCCACTTCTCCACTGAACTGAACTGAGATACTTACCCTTTTTTCTTCCTGTTTGTGATTAAACCGGATTGATCAGCAGCAGAACTGAGAAAAGTAATTCATCAGGGAAGATGGATGTGCAGTGTTGCCTGCTTTGGTGTCAGCTATAAAGAGATTTCTTGAAGATATCACAGGAAATACTTGGATCAAATGTGTATTATCTCTGGGGGAAAAAATGGGGCCAGAAATATTTGGCATGGTTAAGCAGTGAGATAAAGGAAATGATCAAAACACATCCTTCAAAAACTGTCAAGATTAGGAAGCTAGAAAATAATTCAAGTTCCAGCAAGTTAAACTTGAAACTACAGTAAAGCAAGCCCGAAGTTTAAACAGTTTAATGAAATTATGAAAACTACCACAGCAGAGGAAGACAATGATGTCAGTCAGCCCAAGAAGTGATGAGGGTACAAGATAAGGCCATAGGGAAAAAAAAAGAAAAAAATTAATTTGCTGACACTGAGGTAATTCAATGGCTAAGATCTATTTGCACACTAGAAAATTTCATTATGGGAAATAGTTGAGAAATTGTCTCAGATTAAGTCTCTAAACAAACCAATACAATAATTTCAGAGCTAACGCATCTTAAGTAAACCCTCATCTGGGGGAAAAGCAAATGAAAACACCCCTAGCTTTTAAAACAGTGCTTACCTCCTAGGGAAAAAAAAAATAATGTGGATCTGGGTTTTATAGGTCTATGAAACATGAGCACAATAGGGAGAAAACAAGATATAATTAGAAAACAGGTTAAAATATAAAATCATAGATCTCTGGTGTGACTGAAAAGAGGTTGTAGAAAGACAACCTCTTACGTCTTGTATTTCAAGACATATAGGTGGAGATTTCTTCCCATGAAGAAATAATGGCAGCAATAGCTAGGAACTAAGGCTCTGAGACTCCAAGATCAAGGGCAAGGCAGAAGGTTAGGGCCAGGGCAAGTGTTAGAAAAAGACTAAAACCAGCACTGCAGCATGCAAATATTTATTAAATAAGCTTTGAGTTATTTCTGTACTTCTGAAGGATGTATGTAAGAAAGCACCCATTTCCAATAACCTTGAGATCCCCTTCCCAAACTAAACTGTTAGCGGAGTACTAGGCCCAGTGAATCTTCTGTTTGAGACAGGACAACTGCTCTAATTTTATGTAATGTTTTTTGCACTCTAGGTATATCTTAGAACTTGGGTGGTCCGGATGTGTCATTTGCTCTGCACTTTGCAACAAGTGCTTTGCACTCTTGTAGCAACATGAGATTTTGTATGTACAAGAATCCGATTAGCTCTTTATCTGCAGGTTTTCTTATATCAATTTTTGGCCCTAACTTGGATCCATGGACCCCATGTAAGGATTTCCAAATGCCCCCTTGGATCCTGCTTGTAATTTGGATTCAACTCCCTGACAACAGTCTTCAAGACAGCTTCTTTGAGAGCTTCTCCCTGTTGAGAATAAGGGGTGCTTCAGATTCCTCGTTTATCTGACTCTCAACACATTTTCCATAGAGGGATCCACGAATACCTACCTAGGTAGGAGTCCAGCAGAGCATGACAGTGACAGCCAGACCACAGCATAAGGTGCTTTTCTGCCTCCCACCTGTCACTTCTGCACAGCAGCTGCGGAGTTCTCCAGGCCCCCACTGACTTTTGGAAATGCCACTTGCTGGTGCTCCTGCAGAGCAAGGGAAACAGAGCTTTCAATTCTGACATAAAAAAAATCTGCAGGATTTTCTTCTCATTCCAGTTGGAAGACGCTTTCTTTTTTTCCAGTCAAAAGTTTCCACAAGCCAGAAAATAAGAATTAAGTCAGAAGTTTCGGTTATCTTTTTGAATAATATCTTGGGATCTATTGATGAAAAAAGGCAAAGGAGACCAAAAAAAAGTTTCTATTACTGAGCATAGCCAGAAAGCACTGCCTAAAGCTTTTGGTGTTAAAAATATCGAGCTCTTTTTGATGAGACTCAAAAGAGATTTTAATCTTTTGCTCCTTTAATTTATTCTATCTGAAACTCCCTCCTATCACCCATGAGGAACTAAGAGTTTTTTTTTTTCCATTCAGAATCATCACTGGATGTCAGTGAGAAAGCTGTTGTTAAATCATGCAGGCTTCACCTGTACTGCATTTTCAGGACTTGTTAATACCTGACTTTTTAATTTTTGTTCATACTTCAATTATTCACTTTATTTCCATGGTTGTCAGGGGGAAAAAAGAAAGAAAAACAGCCATCCCTCCACCAACAAAAATCCACGATTCACAAACTATAGGCAATCCTTAATGCTGTCAAACTCAAGGTTTCTGTCAGGACACATTTATGAACACATCAAAAGAGACTTGATAAGCCAACTGTTATTCATAAAAAGCATTTAAGCATAGACTGCTCTTCATTCCCATTGCCGCCGCCTTAGCTATCTGATCACCTACTGTCCTTTTGTAAATGCCCCTAGTTGCAGATCCTGCTATTTGCCTGACATTGTTTTTAAGAGCTGCAGCTCCTTTGTAGTTGCTTTCCACTTAGAAAGACATGAAACATTTTGCTAAGTACTTATATGCTTCATTTTCCCATAATCTCTATTTGCTTTCATTTCTCCCACCACAATAAAATTTTCAATGCCTTTTTTCTTCTATTAAAAAAAACAATAAAACCACCACTGAATATTTTTATTTCTTACTTTATTATGCAAGTAGTGACTTCTTACATGCAGCATATTGTATCTTTACAAGTGCCTGTTATGCTGCTACAGTGCTCACCTTAGAAAGCTACTTTTTAGAGGCATTTCAAATAATAAAAGGTAATACTCTGTAGTATTAACAAACTAAATTAATACCCATTTTCTAGTGAAATGTCCTGAAACAACAGTTTGTAGGTTATGGATTTACACTAGAAATCTAAATAAGACAGAACGATAATATGGATTAAAATTTGTAAAGGTATATAGCAGTACTTGAAAAATTGGTTGTCACAGCTTGTTAAATTAGAAAGGTGCTTAAAGGATGTAAAATACAGCATTAAATGTAATAAATTAATCATACAAAGCCAGATAAATGTTTTAAAAATGCTTAACAACTCACCTTCGTTTTCCAGATCGCATGTATGGAACATGTGAGATAGACTGGGCAAAGGCCAACTTCTCTACAATCTACAAGTCCTACATTATCTCCATTTTTATCTGCTGTTTCTTCCTACCTGTAACAGTCATGGTCTTCTCGTATGTGTCAATTATCAATACTGTCAAATTAAGCCATGCATTAACAGGACTCAGTGATCCCACAGATAGACAGAGGAGAATGGAGCGCGATGTCACCAGGGTAAGTCTGGGCTTCATATCATGGGATTTATCTCAGCAAAACCTGTCTGTCCAAAAATTGATCTCAACTAGGACAGAAGTGAACAAAACTCATAGCCCCTATTAAACTTCTTTGTAATCATCACTACTGAGTCTGAACTGAGTGAACATAAGGATTGTTTAGAACTCCCTTGGTTGCATAACAATTGTGATGTTGCTACATCACAAGAGAAAAATAATTTAAATATAATTGGAACAGTCCATACACCACAAACACAGAAGTTTAGTTTGGCATATTCTCTTTCAGAAGAGATGTTACTTCTGAGAATACACACAAGTTACAGGGGAACTTTCAAATTACTTATCCTAGATTGAAATCTACACCAAATCTCCTAAATTCATAAAAAACCTATAGGGAACTGCAGCTGTTTTTGTTCCATTAGGTGAGGCACTGCTCATGCACACCTCATGCCAAGTGAGATATACAGCTTCTAGGCACAGCTGGCACCAAAGAAAAGTTTTTGCGTCTCTGTGCAGTCCTGTAAGCCGTATCTTCAGGAGAACCTGAATGTTTCCTTCCAGATCAGTTTCTAAGCTATTTTTCCCCCAGTGTATTTCATCTCTGATGTAGTCTTCCAGAATAAATTTAAGACTGTTTTCCTTCTGTCTTTCAGGTCTCTATTGTTATTTGCACAGCCTTCATTATTGCATGGTCACCATATGCTGTCATCTCTATATGGTCTGCATATGGTCACCCTGTGCCCAATCTTACCAGCATCCTTGCCAGTCTGTTTGCTAAGTCTGCCAGTTTCTACAATCCTATAATCTACTTTGGAATGAGCTCTAAGTTTCGGAGGGACATTTTTATCTTATTCCATTGTGCCAAGGAAGTCAAGGACCCTGTGAAGCTCAAACGTTTCAAAAACCTCAAGCAAAAACAAGAACCTTCTCAGAAAGAAGACAAATACGCAGCAGAAATGCATCCTGTACCGAGCCCCGATTCTGGTGTGGGAAGTCCAACCAACACCCCACCTCCAGCAAACAGGGAAGAGTATTTTGGTATTCTTGATACACCATCTACTAACCCTGACATCGAATGTGATAGACTCTAAGTTTTATGGCCACTTAACACACGCACCCACCTTTGTGTTCAGGAAGACCCTCTTCAGATCACTGTCTGAGTGATCTCCCAACTCCCAGTCCATCTACTTCTTTCTGTAGCACTGAGAACTACAGAACTCAAGCACATCGGGTGACAAAGAGATACTTACCTTCTGTGTGGGTACAGAATGCTACAAAACACATTTCAACACGGGCAGCACACATGGTACCTGAAGCATTCAATTTTCACACATATGAAAGAAAATGAAGGCTCACTTGTGAAGAACTGGCGTTAGCTAGCAAAAAAAAATACTGTTATTATGTTCCTGTCCCAATTTTATTAATCATAAGATTACATTTCCAAATCTGTTTTTTAATTCCTCAGCAGTCCCAGGCATAGAGGATCTTTTCAGCTCTTTGATGCAACACAGACCCCACTCATAGGAAAAGATGGGCCCACCTGCTGCAGAGCTGCTGCTCCAGTTCTGCAAGTTGGTAGGCAAAGCTGTTCCTCCCTGGACACAGGGGTAGAATGGGCATGCCCACATGGGTATGCAACAGACTACCTGCCCAACTCCACATGTATCCATGCAAGTGCAAGGCACTGTAGATCTTGGTATTCTGTCGCTGCAGGTTTAACAGCATCTGTTTGTTTCCAGAATTATTTCCATCTTCCCTGACTCTTCCGGTGAGCAGGGCCTGGCTGTAGCATGCACGTGCCCAAAAGCTGGCTTTAACTTCCTGATGTGTCTCTCTATCTCAATTGCTTTTCTGGGTGACTGTGAAGGTGGAGCATGAGATGGTTTGCAGCCACTGAAACCAATGACAGTAAGAATAAGACAGTAAGAGTATTAAGAAAGTATGGCATCAGTGCTATTTACAAAATAGTCTAACAACACTTTACTGCTGCTGTTAAAGTTTTTGTACCTACCTACCATGGGAAAAAAAAGAAAAAAAAAAAAAAAAAAAAGACTTTCAGATAAATGCAAGTAGCAACAAAGGATAGCTATTTTAATAGCAAAACTATAGGATTAAATCAGCAGTGAGAATATCCGATACAATAACATCCAATTATTCCCTCAATTTAATTTCACAGAATGAAAGTAAGGAGGCACATGTTCATAACTTCCCATCTTAGGAATTCACTGAGCACGCAGATTTCCATCACATTGTTTTTGTTTTAACCCTGGAAATTCTGTGTCTTCATTCAGTGCCATCTGCATGAAAAACAAGGGTGGGGGGGGGAAAAAATGAAATTATTTGTTGCTAACCTCAGCGATATTTATGACCTACGTGGAATCTTTCACCCTCAGCATATGCTAAGATGTAGTTGTTTTCCAACAGTTCGTAACTTCCCCAAGAAACACATTTGGAAAATCAAAGCAAGCCCACCTTCATTTCCTCCATTACTCTATTTGTTTTGAGAAAAATCACTTGTGTTTTGAAGTTAAAAAGAAATAAACATTTTAAGCAACAGTTGGGAACTGTTTCCTTTCACAACCACAGATCTGAACTGCAAGAATATTCATCCCCATGGAAAATTTTGAGATACGGGTGCTATTTCATTACCATAAATAATTAAAAGCAAATAAGTAAACTGTTGACTTCCAGATAAAAGCACATGCCATAACTGCAGAAACAGATGAAGCCATTTAAGGCAAACCCCTGTCACAGCCAGATGAAGCAGGCAAGGCCAGTCAAAGCTGGCACAACATTTTAAAAGCTTCTATGTCTAAACCCAGATCCTCGTTGGCAGCCTCACTGGACTGAGCTTAGCTACTGCTGCACCCACCCACAGGTCACTTTGAGATGAGTGCCGTGCATCCTTTGGGTGCAGCTCACAGAGGTACCTACAGTGACAACCGCTCCAGGCACTGGCAATAGCCACAGACACCTGGCTAGCATTTAATCAGCATTTCTGCTGATTTATGGATGTCTAGGGAAAGCATATGTGCCATTGTACATGTACACAGCAGCAAGGGAGACACAGGAGTAAGATACACGAACTAGAAAGAAGCAACATAAGAGGGGAACAAGAAGATATGCAAGGACGCAAGGGGTCAACAGCCTTAAGGACACAAACTTGCCCCAGAACAACTAGAAACTGCTAATGCTATAAAAGCCTTGACCGGACAGTGCAGATCTCATTCTTGCCATGCCTGAGGCTATAGTCCTTGTAGATAGATTCATGATTGCAGAGCAAAACATCTGGTTTTGCAGGTTATTTGAGGGGGGGAGGAAGAAGATGGATGCCTTTGCAGGCACCAACCTGTGCTCCAGGCCCCATAACAGGCACATTTGTCACTGGAGTAACTCAGGCTGTTAGGCTTCCAGCCCTCACACATCAGTACTCTGTAGCTGCACACAAGATACACACAAGCACCAGAAGACAGGAAAAAACACCCAGAACCAGTTCATGCTCAAGTACAGGTAAGGAAATATGCTTCAGGATTTCAAGTGTGCAAATCCACACACAAACTGTAAACAGTTGGCCTCCATCCTGCTTTCCAGTTTTGTTTTTCTTCCCCTTGTCTCTGGTTGCATGCTTGTCTGGAGGAGGTTGAACCCTGCTCCTCTGCTTGCTGAGCCCACATCACTGACCTCAGAGAGCCTCAAAGGGTGCAGAGGTTGAGAGCATCAGCAAGGGGAAACACGATCTGGGAGTACAGAAGGGGCATGATGGAGTCCTAGGCTCTGTTCCCTATGCATTTTTATGCCTTTTAGTCAGCAACAATGAAGAACAGTGTAGAGGCACACAGAAGACTAGAGTCAAATTATTTGCCTGCCAACCCTACTGCTTGCCAAACCTTGGATTTTCTTTTACGGTGGATGAATTTCGCCAGAGATGCAAGAGGGCTGTTGTCACGAACGATGCCCTGGTGATAAGGATGCTCTCAGTAAATTGCAGCTTTTAATGCTCTCAGTCTAAGATGGTCTTTGAAGGGAGGTCCCAAGTCCCTCACAGAAGCAAAGGCCTACCTGCTTCTGAGTTGTCTGTTTAGAAGTACTGTGTTTGTTTTGAATATAATAGGACAAGCATTTCATTTCCAAGAATGCTCTCAGCTTTTACTGGCTTGTTCCAGCAGGATCTGAGACATCTATTCACTCTCTCTCACTGCTAGGACGCAAGGAACCCAGCCAGCAAACCCTCCTAGCTATTCATCATCCATCTATCTCTGTACCCTCATTCCCATTGGCACTGCTGAAACACTCTGGCAAAAGGCGACATACCACAGCACAGCAAAAGTCATTCAGCAAAAACCTTGAAACACTTAAGCCACTCTTTAAATACTCTATATTCTCATTTTTGCCTAACATTTCTGACTAGATATCCATTAGTACACACGAGCAGGTAAATTAGTAAATACATTAATTGTGAAGCCATTACATATGTATCAAAATCTCATCAGCTCTTATTTCTTATTATCTATAGTATTCATAACATTCAGCATACCAGTATTACACCAACATCACTGTAGTTGTCAATACTTAACACGGGCACATTGGTCTTGCAGGTGGCTCCCTGTTACCAACACAACCATTTTACTTGGGCTACATAGTGCAAGCAGTTAAGCCAGGATTATTTCTGTTCAGTTTCCACACGTAATAATAGCTGCTCCTGGTTTGAGGAAAAAAAAAAACAAAAAAAAACAAAAACAAAGCTATCACTTGTTTATTTATGCCAAGAAAACCTTTAGGGCTCAAATTTTCCCTGCTGACATAGTTGCCAAGCTGAAAATCCCTCTGGGTGTCAGCACATTGAAGTACATAGCAACATTTCTTTACAGCATTGACATTTCTAATGGTAATATGAATAATATGAGTGTGCAGTTGGAGGGACAGCATACTGCAAGGCAGTCCCTGTTCTCAGTGATATTTATACCTTTTTATCTAATGACTCATGTAAAGTATTTCATGTAGCAGAGACTAGAAAACAGGATATCTACCTTCATCCCCATGAAGATAATGACTTTACTATGGCATGCTTACTAAGGATTGCACACTCTTGCAGGGTCTCTTTCCACCGCAATAAGCCCTTTGTTCTTTGCCTCGTACACTGACTAGACAAGGGGGATACAGACTGCGTCCACTGCACTATCCATAGGAGTAATAGATGAAGATGAGATCCTTTCCCAAGGTTAGGACTTGAAAAGATCTTGGTTCTTCTACCCTATGAATGCTTGCATTCCTGGGTAATAACGAAAAGGGTGTGTGATGTTACTGCACCTGTACTTCCAACTATCCAGAAAACTAAACACTATAAACTAGCTTAGCAGGTCAGGTTCTCTTGCAACACTGCGTCTGACCCTCTCTCTCCCTCTCAGATTGCCAAAAGCTTGGATTTTGGAGCTTGTCAGTACATCAACAAATGCAAAGGACTTCTGAAAATCCTTTGGGAGCTCTGAGGGCCAAAGCAAAGATGCCTGCAGGGTCAAATGGGCCCGTGTCTACTACATGGTCTGAAGTGCCCAATTTTCACATGATGTGAAGATCCTACAGTAGTCATTGCCCCGTTCTTTCATATATCAATGATCTACGCAATATGGGAAAGCTACAATCAGGGAAATAAAATGGCTCTAAGGATCTCATGGTTAACACGTATTCCTGCTTTCTTGGAGAAGGCAATTCAGGTGATTCCAGAGGAAGATGGAATCACGATCTCCAGAAGAGCAGAGCACAGATACTACTGGACACAGTTACACATTAATCCTGCCTGGATGCTTCTTGTAAAGCTTGACCAAGTAGGCACAGTCAAATATAACTCTCACAGTCTGAGTGTGGGTATTTAAATAGATTGCACTGACTGCAGTAGAGGACAGCAGCTTACCATCTGGCCTGTGCTTTTATCTACAGTTTTGACTATACAATATGTATTTAGTACATTTCTGAAACTTTGTTTTCTGGATTGGATTTTTTTCATGCGCAATCTGTCTATATAATAGCTTATCATAAGAGGGTGGCAAGAATACATTATGCTTGACACGCAGGAGAAGAACAAGAATAAATTCAA